CGTATAATATATGTAGAATACTGTATAATTATAGTCTTGCATTTTCCACTTATCACGCGTTCTATTTTTGCACTGCAAAATTAAATTGTCGGCAGATTGTTTGTTCGTATTCTCTTACTTTACATCCAATTATTATATCTGTCTTGCCCCTTGCAGCCTTGCTCGTGAGAGGGATATCAGAGTGTTAGGTTGCCTACGGAGGATGTAAAATCTTTATAGATATATAATTCTTCTGTGCGTGTGTATGTGACTGAACTCCTCCTAAACGGCTGGACCAATTTTGATGTAATTGTTGTGTATGTTCAAGTACTTTCGAGAATGGTTTAGAGTCACAATTCGGTCAACTACAATAAATGTTTTTTAGTTTAGAAATGTGTACAGGACAACGTCTGTTGGGTCCGCTAGTATATGTATTATATACACAATTCTTATCATGCTGAAGCGGTATAAAATTCTTTAGACATTTAATATTTCCTGGTAGTGCATCAAATTGAATGTGAACTTTGAAATTATTATAAACTGTTTTCAGAAAAGAACTAGTGTGCAGAGAAAATAATGTTAATGTTAAATACGTAGTAGCCGCCCCCTTGGTCATAGGCGGTGCACTGACCTGCGTTTATGTTCATCGCCCAGTCCCTAAGGGTTATAGCCTGTAATATACCTTCGTCAGTGAGTTCTCTATGAAATACAAAAAGGATATATTCAAATCTGACCAAGAGTTTTGAAGATAAACTAAGTCTTTAGCTTTCTTATGTCAGTATAGTATAGAACTATACATAACGATAGGTAATTTCATTCTGTACTCACACATCTACAAACAATAACTGTTTTATACAATGTAACAGAGTTGAGATGTAAAAAAAAATACTTTACAAAAGGTACTTACACTATTATAGTTTATACTTTTTGTATAATTTCTATTTTATTTTACTATTTCGCAGAACTTTTAGAATAGGTGACCGGTATGAATGAACCTTTTGTTTTGGGCCCTGGTTCAAAATCCCTTCGGATAGAGAACAAAACTATTTTTGTAAACCTGACCATTTAATAATGTCGTATCACTTATCATTTATGAATGTCGTATGCCAGAAATGAAATACATCAATATAAATCATCAAAATATTTTTCCTGATTAAAATATAGTATGAAGCAACCCTAATTGTAAATAATTTTTACTACGAGCCAAATAACTCTACGCCAACGAAGTTGGCTGCAAACCGAATGTTGCGCAGGTACACTCGCAAACAAACGTACTGAGCATACAAATACATTTTATATACTGTTTGTGTGCATTATTAAGCTACAAACAAGTAGGTAGTAATAAAGTTCAATTTATTTAATTCAGAATTGTATAATGTGTAACGTACATCTATTTCCTAAAGGTCAACGCTAGGACTAGTTATATCAGCACATTATCAATAAATAGACACTTCTAGAATTAAGTTTCATATTTAGTCTATTCAGGTGGCAAATAGCAAAAATGATTTATCATATCAATAATAGCAGCAGATCATAAAGATAGGTAGGAACTAACTACATTCAATTTAATGTTTTATACCAGGGGTTCAGAATGTTAGAGCAAATTCTCATTTTTTCATTCGTGTTATATATTTTGTACAGTGCGGAACTCACACCCGTAGCTTCCGTAGTTGCTTTTTACTCCGTAATGTGATACAGCTTATAACTAGTTACGATTTTTTTAGCCTGCCCTTTAAATACGGAGATTCGTCTCGGTATTTTGAGAAAGGCATATAAAGCGTACAACAATAATAACAAACGCAAACAAAACAGATAATAATCACAAATAAAACATAACAATATTAACAGAAACTATAACAATTATGTTCATGACAGTACGTTATATCAAAGTAGTGCAATTACTTAATGTGTTAGAGTGAGATACACTACTAACCTTGTAGCGGTGCATTGCGTCGGCGGCCAAGTGCCCCCCCCCCCCCCCCGATCTTCGCCTTAAGATGCGACTTACCATTCTGATACCTAAATTTGTGTTTTGCGGCGTTACTCGCGCGAACTTCGTTGGGGCAGAGTTGCTACATACTGGGCATTAAAGACGTAGGACGCTAGTAAATCCCCTGGCTGATTCATACATTTACTCCAACGCAAATAATTGAAAGATTTTCCTTAACAAGTGTCCAAGGCCCTTGCACCGGCGCATTGAAGACAGGAAAAGATAAATCACTGTAGAACAATTTTCTCATACAAATTACTACGAGTACAGTTGAAGGGAAACTTTAATTATATCACGTTTTTGCTTTATCATCATCATCATGTTACTGTACTATTGTATTGCCAGTTTCATTTGAGTTCGGCGTAACGTTCAAGTAAACATTGCATAGATTTAGTCCGTTTCGTTTTATGGCTCCTTGGGAATTTAAATGTTTTTGTCGGTATGCATAAAGGAAAAATAAAGGTAAAGGAAACATAGTACGAGGGCACTACTAAACCTCGGATCTAAGTCTCGGATTGGGAAACAGGACTGTAACTAGCAGTAGCTACACTACTGGATTTTTTTTTGTACTCACAAGTCAATCCAGCGATTGGAGAGATCACAAAAACAGACAAATAACTGTGATAATATGAATGAAAATTGAAATGAAGAGGTTAAACATTAACACACTAAGACCCGGCTATAACTCACCAAACGAAAGTAATGAAACTCTATTTTAGGTAACCAATTTGTGATTCAATCCGGACCACTCCCAAGAAAGTGGTAAATACAATCACGATAAGTAAGGCTTCGTTCAAACAATCCGCCCAGTACTTACATTTGATTATATTTGAACCTGCCAATATCGGCTGATCGCGGTATTGCCCTGTTTATTTGCCCGGCGTCGAACATAGGATGTTTTAAAATATTTCCCTATTTTAATATTAGGTATTTGATGTTTTACTTTAATTGCTATATTTTTATAAAAAAACAAAACCTTTTTGAAATATTAATATGGTTTTTTCTTTTTTCAGTAACTATATTATTGTTTCCTAGTTCATAAATTATACAAAAACGTCGGACAAAGGATATCCTGATATTTTTATGTTATTAAATATAGTCCTTCGTGCTTTAAATTTTAAAACGGTATGCAATACATCACGTTGATATATTATAGTCAGACTATTATTAATGTTAACTTTCATTAGTAATCGATTTTTTATGTTTTAACATGTAAATTATAATCATATCAAAAATGTAATTGTAAGGGAAAATCATTACAATTTTAACACTGAATGGTTTATTGTAAACTCAACAAGTTTTTTGTTGCGTAACTATTTTTATATGTACATACTTTCATATTGTTATGCTAAATTCTGATTAGTATTATTTTTTTGTAATAAGAACTTGCCTGACTTATACGTTTATTTAATTGATATGATTTCAGTAATTTTTATTCGTCTACAAAATTATATAAAGAAGTTTTAACGGTGAATGTATTATAATTTTTTCTCGCGAATAAAAAAAAAACTATTTTCAAATATAACAACGAAATAGCAGCAATATCCAAAATAGCAATAATATTACTATTAATCCGTAACACACACACACACACACACACGCGCACACGCAAATAGTCAGTTAAATTGAGAACCTACGGGAAGTTAAGAGTTGGATTAATATCGATTTTATACATAATTTTTTTCTTGACAAAAAGTAATCCATGTGGTATTTCAAACTGCATCCTATCTCTGTGCAAAGTTTCATTCAGTCGTTCTGGCTTGGTGAATAACAAACATTCAAACATCCATCCAATAAGATCGGCCACAAATCTTACTTATACCGCTTTAATTAACGCGATTAGAAGTCGACATGATACATAATATAAAAATAGTGGTTATCTACAAGACGAGGTCTTTTTATCAGCAAACATGCTGTGGGATCATCGCCGACGGTCTATGTTTGATGATAAAAATGCAGTGCTACACACGATGTTGGTGTTATCTTAAATATATTCCTATTATGTGATGAAGATTAAATTTGATGGTTGTATTTCTAATCCGTATAGATTAAGTGATAAGAGAGATTGAGTGACAGCACTTGTCATCATTCATCACTATTCATCATCACCGAAGGGGAAGATAAAGGCGTATTATATTCCCACTTATGCCCATTATAGTGTACTTTTAAAACATTTTTTTTACTTGTTTTTGTTATACGTAATTGGATGTAAGCAACCTGATACTTAAGGAATACAATGGGAAAATTAAGAGTTTCATGAAAGGAAAGTTAGATAAGACGAGAGAGCCTGGTATTTTTTCTTCAAATTTTAGCGAAAAATCTTATGACGAAAAAATGTAATCCTCATTTCTACAAACTTACGGTTTTGCAATCTCCACTTAATTATTTGTAATGTCATAAAATAGAATCGTGTTACACAAAGTGCATGTGTGAGATCTAATTACGATTTGCTTCGGTTTTCGATTTGCTTGTAGGTATAGAAAATACCATGTATAATGAAGGCTATACGTTTCTGTCTGATTATAATTGGATTTGAGATTATAATTATAAATGTTGATGGCGTATAATTTTGTAGCGAGAAATATAATAAGAATGTAGCTGTGTGGTGAGGATTAAGAATACGGAGTGTCACCTCCCATTCATCCCGTGGGTATCGTAACTAAGGGAGCAAACTACGCAAGACAATAGAACTGCAAAGAGAAGAAAACTTGACCCAAACCCACCGACGCGTTTGGTCAGCGTGGCACAGTAGGCCAAAACCTCCTTTCTAAGGCTCTCCTTAGAAAGGAGGTTTTGACCTGCTATTGGGCCTTTGCCTATGCCCAGCGGTGGACCATTAAAGGTTGTTGATGATGATGGTGATGTTACTCTTAAATCCTTCTTCTTTGTGGCTTAACATTTACTTTGTGACTGCGAATCCGTTCGTTCATTTTTACGTGACTTTCGCTGTAGTTGGTCAGCTATACTTTAGGATGATTCCACTGCTGCCGGAACATATATATTTTTTTTAATCAATGAATTTTGTTTGCAGGCTGCGACATGCCAGTAAGGAACGGCGGAAAGCGGCCCCTGGTCGGTGTAATAGATGATGGAACAAAGACTGTCAGATTTGTGGTAAGTTACCAAGTAAAAAAATATTTTTCCATGTCAGTTCATAAAAACGTAGTTCTGACGTAACAAAAATGAATAATAAATAAAGCCGAATTGAGAATCCATTTTTGGAGTCGTTAAAAATAATTAAGATTAATTATTTAATTAATTAGGAACAAAAAATGCGATGCTTACGTTAGGATGAAGATGTTTCCTGGCACTGCGTAGATTATTTAGCGTTTCTATTGTATTACTGGTTTAACACATCGTCTATATGCAATGCTTACTGTTGAAAAGTGTCCAGGGTTAAACAAGGATATTACAATAAGGTATTTAGGTATGGGCAGAAAGTTCAGGAAAATTCAGTAAATCAAAGTATTAAGTCATGAAGTAAGTATTAATAAGAATACCGAATTATCTTTTGGTCTGCGAGAATACTTTCCTTTTATGACATTTGAGCGATCGGAACTGATTGTTGAAAAAAAAAATCGTTACGAGAATCGACCTTCAGATAATTTCTAAAGCAACGTATTTAATCTAATATATAAAATAATACGAAGTCTAAAATATGTTATTGTAATGTGTATTCTTCCGGCAAAATGATATTTTACATTCGACTTTGAACTGCGCCGTAACGAACTGCCTACCCTATATTTTATTACATACTTAGGCTTGTGAATAAAGCCGTGAGAAAATATCCTCTTTAAAAACTGACGGTCACTTTTTTACAGCCACAAGTTGTTACAATATTACTTTATTATACATTGTGACGTGGCTTCATGCACACGATTCATGAGGGTATTTTATGTTTGTTTTACTGGTCACCTGATGGTAAGTGGCTACCGCCGCCCATGGAGACCAGCAACTCGAGAGTCACGAGTGCATGTGCGAGTGTCTCCCTTTGAGTCTCCCCCTCCCCTCCTCAGAATTAAGGTGAATGCGTGCCGAGAGCGTTACGAAAAGTGTGATCGGGCGAGGCGAACGGAAGTTGAGAGTGAGATATAAGTTAGTGAAGATAGAAAAAGAAAGAGATACGTTTCGTATATTACTGTAAGGGGCAAGAGAGAGAGGTGCGAGCACACATTTTCTTTCTCTCTTTCTCTCATAGCCAAGAAGTTTTACTTCAGTCGTGTGATCTAAGGCACACTCATTTTTTGTTTCTTGTGCGGAACTGCCCTAGTATACCACCCACCAGTGGGGTCGTTATATCAGACTCGAACCGACCAAAAATCACGCAGTTTCCAGATACCAGTAGCTGGGGAACCAGGTGTACCCTAGAAGGAAAAGCCCTAGTACCTCGGGCCATCTACGGCTTATAGATGATCCTCTTCTGTGTGGGAACCCCGATGTTCCCTTCCTGCCCCCGAAGGGCGTGCTAAGCAGCGCGTCGCGCTGTCACCCACCCCGGCCTGCTTTGCTAGGGTGACAGCTAGGACTGGGAGAGCTCTAAACCTCTCCCAGTCCCGCTCATGCAAATACACCTAAATAAGTAATACTTGAGAATTATTTATTTAGTTTATTCACATTCTAACTGTACATTCTAATCATTTTTATATATATTTATATAGTAATTTTGTTTACAACATCATTTGGACTAGTTTGCGATATAACTGTGACTCATGTTACACGTGTACCGGGTTTTTTTATAATAACAAAAAAAAAACGTTAGAAATAACTGTATCAATTCTTTCAAAGTATTCATAAACCGGTTCTAATATCAATTCCATACAAAAATAATCCAAATTCAACGAAGGCGTGGCGCTTACGTCATCCGCATACGAAATGTTGTCACAACATTGTGTATTGTGTATTACAATGTACGGTTCAAAGTTCTCAATCAAAGTATTTGTAAATAAGTGACCGCAAATTAAAAAGTTATGTATACATTATTATTAACCTTTAAACTTCGATTTGGGTTAATACACATGTAATTTTTAATCATGTAAAATGTAGATATGATATGTACATAATATGTTAGTTTGCTAGGCAATTTTTAGATATCATGGTTATCGGGTTATTTTTTATTTGTATACACCAGTTTCTGTTTTACAACACGTTTGTTACACGTCGTAGATAATCTTCTTGGGTATATTCTGTCAACCATAAGGATTTAATATGAATTTTTATGAACGTCAATACATAATTATCATAGAAAGAGTCAACCGCTGAGTATGTTGTTCTGTCTGTATGCACGCGATAAACTCTAAAGCTACCGAACAAGTTTTAATGCAATTTTCACCAATGTATAGAGTCATTCATGAAGAATGTTTTAGTGTTGTTAAAGCGTAATTCTTTAAGGTTTTCTATTAATTTGATGAAATATGACCGTTTTGTCGGTAAAACTTATGCTGACTGGGATCATTTACCTACAGAAGTGCGCTACGTGTATAAACGAGTTGTATGAAAACTATGTATTACAACATTTTTCCTGTTAAAATATCGTGATATTTGTGAATATTTAAACTGTAGAATAATCATAACCGGTATACACTTAAAGTGAGGCCCACAATGTGCTACACTCTTGCTGTAAACGCCTTTCTAGAAAAAAATTGCGAGGATTTTTTTCCGACCAGCGCTCTTTTACACTTGCCTCAGCACAGTAAGGGGTTAAGGAAGGTTTTGATAACTGTCCTATGTTCTTCTATATCTTAACAATTAGATAACTCCTGTTTAGGCATCTCTTGAAGAAGGTACCGCACCGTACCAAAAAGTCGAATCAATTATGACTGTAGACTATGTTGTTAAAATTTTAGGATTCGGGTTTTTTTATATATAGACAAATGTAAATGAAGTAATACTTACAGATATATGAAGCAGAGAATACAGATGAGCTAGTGTCGTACCAACTGGACAAAACCGAAGTTCAGCCCCAGGAGGGCTGGTCGGAGCAGGACCCAATGAAAATTCTACATCATATCAGGATATGTGCCGAAAATGCTATTGATCAGTTGCTTGAACTTGGTAAGTACGGTTTGATTTTTTCAGTAGCACAAATAAATGGACCATTAGGGAATTTGATGTGAAAGAAATTAGATAAAATAGGAACTGGGCAATTAGATATGAAGGTTCTTATTTTGTACCACTTGTAAGCTATCTATAGTCTTTAATTGTATACTTATTGATAGTAACAAAAGAAATTGTCATAACCTTCCTTACTGTTTCCCAATTTAATTCCATCTCTGCGAAATGTTTGTAATTGGAATGGGTTTCAACTGGTTTCTTTTATGGCTTGCAGCCAATCTGACGCCAAACTTAAAAAAAGCGTGAAAGCGTAACAAACAAACTCACTTCCACATTGATAATATAAATATGGATGTTAGAAATAATTTTGTTGAATATGAATGAACGGCAATTTCATCACAGTTTCCCATCTCAGTTTGGTCACTGCTTTGCTCCTAAGGGCCGTAGCGTCATCTTAAAGAATGCCGAAGAAAAACGCACAGATAAAGCTTAGCTTTACCTTTATAACATAATTTTAATAAAAAATATTAATGATTACAAGACGTTCATTGCAAACATTACAATGTAATAAACAACGAAATTGAAACGCCAGGAAATGCTTTGTTGCTTATAAGAGGTTATGCCCCTAATTTGTTGATAACGGAGTTATAAATTTTATATTATATAACAGTCATAATACAATCAAACGCAATTGCCAATATCAATTCACTATGATAACGTGAAGTTTTATACCTAGTAAAATATAAAATGCTGTAATGGAACTTTTCGACCGATAAGAAAATTATAAAAAATATGTAATTATAATTGATACATTATCAGAATTGTTATACTGTCTGACCCGTAGATTGTCATATTAAAAACTTCTTCAATTATCGTTTATTTATCATAAGTTTTGTATATAAATCATTTATTATTTAAAAATTATTGTCTCGCACCAATTGTTTTATTCTCATGACTCATATTTTAAAGACTCCTCAATAAATAATTTAATACATAAGATTGAACGCCAAAACATAATGCTACATGCAATTATCTTTTATTATAAAAATATTTAAGCATAACTTAGGAATGATAGAATATTAAAAATTGGACTCAGATACCAAAGACTTTGTCTTCTTTTATTTAATGTGTGAAAACCCCCACGGGTCTTCAATTTACAGGGACTGGAGGTAAAATAATATGACGGATTCAAACCGCCTAAAACCATTATTAATACGAGGGGTGATCAATAAGTAATGATAATCAATATGAAACAGAACTATTAGATTAAAAAAAGTATTTTATTTTTCAACATAGTCTCCTTGCAAGTTAATACATTTAGTGTATCTTTTTTCTAAGCCCATGATTCCCTTAGAAAAAAATTCTTTGTCTTGACCCTCCCAAAATGCCTCTACTGCGGCCATCACTTCACTATTGTCCTCAAATTTGTTGCCCCGGAGGTGTTCTTTGAGCCGAAGAAAGAGGTAGAAGTCACTGGGAGCTAGATCTGGCGAATAGGGAGGGTGTTCGAGCAGTTCGAACCCCGTTTCTTCAATGGCAGCCATCGCAACTGCGGCTTTGTGAGCCGGGGCGTTGTCTTGGTGAAACAGCACTCCAGCGCGCAGTTTACCGCGTCTTTTTGACTTAATAGCTTCTCGCAATCTTCTTATTTGGCCTGCGTAGTAAGAGCCTGTTATAGTGGCCCCCTTTTCCAAATAATCCACCATAATAATTCCTTCTGCATCCCAGAAAACAGACGCCATAACCTTTCCCGCTGAACTTGACACTTTGAATTTCTTCGGCGTTGGTGAGGAAGCTCGTTTCCAAGTCATTGATTGTTGTTTGGTTTCGGGATCAAAGTGGTGGATCCAGGTCTCGTCCATGGTCAAAAAACGCGACAAAAAAAATTCTTTATCGGCCTGGAACTTTTGAAGATTCACCCTCGAAATGTCGACTCGTTTCTTTTTTTGCTCGTCGGTTAACATTCTCGGTACCCAACGCGCAGAGACCTTTTTCATATGCATTTTGTTGACAATGATTTTTTGAACGCTGCCATAGGAGATCCCTGTGACCTCAGCTACATGCCTTACGTTCACCCTTCGATCGGCCAACACGACATCTTCCACTTTTTTGACGTTTTCTCCAGTAAGGGACGTGGAAGGGCGTCCCTCGCGATGTTCATCTTCAGTGGAGGTTCTGCCCAGCTTAAATTCCTTTGCCCAGCGTGCGACTGTGGAATATGGAGGAACAGACTCCCCCAATGTTTCCTCTAAGTCGCTGTGTATGTCTTTGGTAGACATTTTTTTCAGGCAGAGGTACTTGATGACAGCTCTTATTTCATTTTTCTCTATTTTGATATTTTCTCTTCGACAGTTCGTATTCAAATGAATGTATCTCCCGGTAATGGTGTCCTATTTATACATTTTTTTGAAGCTGAAATAGTGGATATATAAGCAAGCAGAAAAATAATAATTTGGGTTTTTGTGCGTTCTAGAAATACTCGATTATCATTACTTATTGATCACCCCTCGTAAGCGGGTCTATTGCAAAGGACCTAAGTATACCCTAAGACAGAAGCCTTAAACAACCAGCTCCCCTAAGACCGAATCGTCTTAAACAATACAAACATTTAGTTGCTATTCTCTTCGTGTTTTGTAACTCTATTTTGACAAAAGAATTGGTTTTGTTTGCATCAATTTCCGTTTGATTTCCACTCATTAAGTTAGTGTTACTGAATATTAATAGAGGGCAATGAACTGTTGAGTGTCGGAGATTATTTATTTATTCATTAACCTCATATTTGTTTTTAGGTTATTCGAAAGAGGACATTGTGACATTGGGTATTACAAATCAGAGGGAGACCACAATTGCATGGGACAAATTCACGGGAGAGCCACTACATCCTGCTATAGGTAAATAAATTCTTATAATTATCCTTGTTGTGTGGTGTTTTGACGTCGCCTGCGCTTTAAACGAAATCGAACGACGAAATTAAGACACATCGAACTACGGAGTAACTACCAATCCTACATCGCGCAATTAAAGTTCTCGAGCTGATTAGATTTTTTTATTGTAAAGTAGGCAAACGAGCAGACTTCAGCGAGTCACTTACCATCAGATCACAAGTGCATTACCAAACTTGGAGTCAACCTCTCCCCAGCTCCAGTATTCTCACTAACTCGGTGAAAAGTAACGACATAATTGCTTAACACCGGTCGAGCCGGACCATATGTGCTGAAGTATGGCTGTCCAGACCGCGGTCGAGCAGGCATAATCAGCTCGCTTAGTCAGGTTCCTCCCTTTGTATTTGGAGTGATATGACACACTTTCCGCTACAGGCGCACTAGCATTGACTCTCCTTTCGTCTCGTGAGATCTCCATGATAAAAGGCTTTCTCAGATTGACAGAATTGTCATATTAAGAGGCGTCTCAGATTTATATATGCTCAGATTTTGTAAGTATGACGCCAATGGATTAAATGGTTATCTTGTTATCAAGTACTGTATAGAGCGATACAGCTATCTCCATATGAAACTTGATACCAAATGTTTCTAAATCCGGTTGTACTTCTTATCTGTTACTGTGGTTTTGTAAAGTGGCCATAGCGGGAATAACTTCTGAATACGTCATATGTTTTCATAATAGAAGACTATACTATATGCGTCAAAAAACATACACAATACATGTGTATTTTATCATTCATTTTGAAATATAATTTTACCTTGGGAGGACATGCCTTTTGCACATATGTGCCGGCTCGACTGGAGTGCTCGAAGCGAGGCCGTCACTTCACCGAAATGAGTCAGGTTAGCAAAGGCTCAACTATGGCTAATACACGCATAACATGGTCCAATTTATCACCACCCGACGAACGACTATTAAAATTGCGACTTCATCGCGACACCATATTAAATTACCCGACGCTTTTTTCAATCGATTGCACCGATCGCTCAACTGGATACATAATTGGACCGGAAAATTTCGATTACGTTCCAATTTACGTAACTAATATCGTAAATTTATTTTAGCATGGAACGACATACGGACAGACAGCACAGTAGACGCCATATTAGCCAAGATACCTGACCGAAACAAAAATTATCTGAAGAACATCTGCGGCCTTCCCATATCTCCGTACTTCAGTGCTCTCAAAATGAGATGGTTAAAAGACAATATAAAATCTGTAAGGAGAGCCAGTCGAGATAAGAGGCTGTTATTTGGTACTGTGGACTCTTGGATTGTTTGGGTAAGTTCCTGTTTATTTTATTATCGAACGTAAGTGGTTCGTTTGTTATCGCAGCTCTGATGTCCGCTTTTGCAAATATTTTTATGTCTGAATATGTAGTCGTATGGGTGTAAGTGTTTTGATGTATGTCAGAAATAGGTCAACATGTACACTGGGAGCCTATAAAGTTATATAGCTCTTTTTAACCTGATTAATAAATTTATACCTCGTGTTGTTCACAAATTTACCTTTTTTTTTTTTTACTTTAAGTATTCTAAATTTCACGAAATTTTCTATAACGTATGTTCGATGATTTCCCTGAAAGTAAAAATGTTTTGAGATTTTAGCAGAAAGTATAAAGGTATACCTACAAAAAGATTAATTGTTGTTCTAAAACCGTAGTATAAGTTATGCTTATTTAGGGTCCACATTTGGGGCACTGCGCCTAATATATTCAAAATTACATGTATCAGGGACACTTATTTAAAAACTTTTTAAATAAAATCTGCTATGATTTGATTCCTTTCCAGCGATAGTGCATAATATTTAAAGTTTATTCAATAAAACTAAATAATATAATGATAACATTGGTAATCACTATTCCAATCACGATTACGAGGTTTTTTTTTCACGTTAAGCCTCCTTATCTGAGGGTCTACGAGCGATATTTGAGTCATCAATCGATACTATCGCTTCTCTAAATTATGCCTACTCTTGAAAACGATTGAAACCTGTGCGTGTGATGATATTTATTTGACTGGCCTATTGCCCTCAGTGGTAAACCAGAGGTCAATTCCCACCCAGGAAAATAATAGTGTGATGAGCACGGTCATTTGTTCTCTGTGTTCATTGTTGTCTGGGGTGGGGGGTGTGTAATTTATCTCTAACTAGCATTTCCCACTCCAGTTTTGCACCAGGCTTGCTTTTTTTAGGCTTGCAATTTTTTTTAATCTTTTATTAGTGACCTAAGCAGCAAGTTGCTGCTGTGCGTTGATATTTAAAAATATAAAAGTATGTTTATCAGCAGTCTGGTTACCATGGTAAAGGCTCTGCCTAGTTTCGGACAAGACGGCCGTGTATGAGATGTGTGATGTTTTTTTTTATATTTAAAAATTAAGGTATCCCTTTAAACCAATAAGTTTTAACCTTTTAGCATATATCCTTTTCTGTTTCTGACTATGTGAATATAAAACTTCACGGTGGTCAGTTAAGTAGTTAAGGCGTAAAAGCGTAACTAATAAAGTCTCAGCAAATCGCGAGTAAAAACCAGTATGTGTTTAATTTATATGTATGTTTCTTAATTCAGAATCTAACTGGAGGTGTACACGGTGGTCTACATATCACTGACGTCACGAATGCTTCTAGAACTCTGCTCATGAATTTGGAAACATTAAATTGGGACCCTATGCTGTGCAGGTAAGATTCGAAATAGATTTCTTAAATTACTCAGTAATTATTTTTTTTATATTACTCAACAGTAGGTATAATTTACTGTGATTGATTGAGCCGCTAAGGCTATTTTTGCTGGTGAGTTAGAGATATTTATTTGCTTACTTAAGTACTAAGTAATGAGACTATACCTATGTACATATCATGATCGTCATTATATTTATGTAAATATTTAATTTCCATTGCCAAATTCAACATTAATATTTGACTACCTACAATTAAAACTGGTCTGTATTTACAACTAAAAATGACTCATTTCCCTAGTCAATATGAAAGGCACATAGCTGTATTGACAAATAAAACATCAGAAAAAAAAATTAGAAAAATAATTGACAAAATGGTTACTTTTCTAGATTATTTGGTGTTCATCGAGACTCATTGCCACAGATTAGGAGCAGCGCAGAAATATACGGAGTGGTGAAAAATGACTCAATATTAGATGGTATCAGAATATCTGGGGTGAGTAAAACAACTATCTGTTATTTTATTGCGATTCAAATAAGGCGAATGTACCTGGCGCCGTCTGGGTTAGACAGGTCAATCTACTTCGTAACTACAGGTCTTGCAACGCGATAATAATAATTATACGTTGATTGGTACTAATTATACGGTGGTTGATAAATTTGATATTGTATAACATTAAATAAAAGTGGGTTAAAGGTTACTTTTAAGGTCAAACTTAAGAAGATTCGAGATTTGAGTTCAAAGTCAAAGTTGTAGTAACTTATAAGCGTCATAAATTTTAGGTTAAGATTTTTAAAACACAAAATATCGTGTGACGCAATCTATGCTTATGTTATTTATTTTTTATAACTAACGAGGTAGATATATCGAAAAGAAAAATTGATAATAAGCAAACAAAAAATTCCGCATCAGTACTACGCATGTCACACACTGATTAAAAAAATAACATTATGCCAATTAGTTATCATAATTATTTCATTATCATGTTCTGTAAGTAAGCCATTATCGAGTGAGGCTTGACATTCCTTAGGAGACCTATGACGTAAGTTCTCCCTTAGTAACGCAATCCAATTCTTATCCGATTGTACCGAAGCACGAAAGGAGGATTACTCGCTTGACCTCTAAGTTTATGCGTATGTCTGTTATAGCGCATTCCGAGTGCCTTTGGCGTGGGGAGTGGGAGTGGGGTTTTTAGTTTTTATCTTTCAAACCTAACGTATGCGATCTGTAATGAAGGATTTAAAAAAATGATTACAATTTATTATTTTTATTTACCTGCAATAAATAGATATTTTTAGTTAGTGTTTTTACTAGGAGCGACCGATAGTGAATTTTGTTTTCTTTCAGATATTGGGTAACCAGCAGTCAGCTCTAGTCGGTCAAAATTGTTTACAAGCGGGCCAAGCTAAGAATACCTACCGTAGCGGGTGTTTCCTGCTGTACAACACAGGAACTAGGCGAGTACAGTCAACGCATGGACTTATCACTACAATCGCTTATAAGTTAGGGCCGGACGCACCCCCAGTTTATGCTTTAGAAGGTAAATATAATTTATAACTTTATAATTTTTTGAAAAGACATGTCCCGCATTAGGTAACCTGTGTCGCGGTTTAGTTTACAAACATACGTTAAAAGGACACAAAGAACACCCAGACTCAGAACTACAATTTGTGGATCACACAAAGTGTCGTCCCATGTGCGGTTTGAACCCACAACACTTGGCGTAATAGAAAGCGGCGTGGCGACCGCTTAAACCACTATGCCATCCGTGCAGTCCAATTAAATTTTAATTTGTATTTTTTATATCAAGTTAATAGTAATAACTTAACACATCTCACACACTACCATCTAATCCAGAGCACTAAAGCAGATTGCCGTTAAACTTACTTATATGTTTGTACCAACCCGTCTGGCCAGCGTGGTATAGTAGGCCAAACCTCCTTTCTAAGAAGAGGCATATGTGCAGCAGTGGACTGTTATAGGCTGTTGATGATGATGTTGATATGTTTCTAAATACATACATATTATAAATACACCCAGACACAGAACAATGATGATGGTGCTCATCACACAATTATTGATCCTGGGTAGGAATCGAACCCACGACATCTGGCTTGGCAATTAGACTTAGTCAATTATTTCTATCCCTTGGGCACATTTTTTAAGGGGGCCAGCCTATGTTTTTCCTGTACCTCGTATCTTATGATGCAAATGCTTCGTGTATGGAAAATCTCCGTCGATTGGTTTAAGCGCAAAAGCATAACAAATACTAAACAGGTTAACTCATTTGGTATAAGTAAAATACTCGTATTAACAGATAAGACCACATCAAAATGGTGCTATCACTTTCTGTATGTTGAATGATATGCCGTTGAAATATATGTTCCTTATAGGGCAGGGATTCCCAAAGTGGTCCATATTGACCCCTTGGGGTCGACATAAACGAAAATTGATTTTAGGGGTCGACGAGATCTAGAAATCGAGACCTGTTAGTTAATACAAGTTCCTATTTGAAACTTTCAAGATACTGTATAAGTTGTATTACGTGAACTGTCTGACTGTCTAATATGTCTATTTATTTTGTTACATTTTGATGAGAAAATAATGTCAAGTTTACTTACTAAACTAACGTTAAAGTTTTTAAATTGGTAAGTATTTTGTATCAATAGGAAAAAACTAGAGATAGGACTTTAAAGAAATTTGACCCCCATAGGGTCTGAGGTATCAGTTCGTTTTGGAAAAGGGGTCTCTTGCCAAAAATAGTTTGGGAAGCCCTGGGTTTGTTTCAACTTTTCCTTTTTTGCAGTGTTTTTGTCCTGCATAGTTTGCCTCGTCGGCGATAGCGAGTTTAGTGTAAAGTGCGATTTCCTCGCGGCAGGTTCTATCGCGGTGGCGGGCGGCGCGATGAAGTTCCTGCGCGACAACCTGCACCTCATCAAGGACGTGGCGCAGGACACGGAGCACATCGCGGGGCAGGTGTTCTCCACCGGCGACGTGTACTTCGTGCCGGCCTTCAGCGGACTCTACGCGCCCTACTGGAGGAAGGACGCGCGGGGGTCAGTACCCACGATACTCACCCACTCAAATGATTCTCTGTTAATAGTCTGACGAACATTTTACTGAACTTATAAACCTTTATCTTTGACTGCCCCGACGGCGTGGTATTTTAAGCAGTCACCTCACCTTTTCTGATTTTTGTGGGTTCGATCCTCACATTTGTTAACTCCCCCGCGACATACGATATATATTGAGTACGAAAGTTGTTTTTTATAAGAAATAAAGTAGTCAAGATGTATCTGCTTTAATGCTTTTAACGTAGCTATAAAATACTCAAAGTTTGCTAGAAATCATTTACATAGACACATAACTGTATGTCAAAATGATTATCGTGTAGGTACAGTATTATTTTGTTACAGAATCATCTGCGGTCTGACCGCGTTCACGACTAAGAACCACATCATAAGAGCTGCCTTGGAAGCTGTCTGCTTTCAGACAAGGTATATTTAAAAATTAATTTACGCTAAGATAAAATCAATGTATTTTTATTTGAAGACCTGATGGTAAGTGGCTACCGCCGCCAATTAACACCTGCAACTCAAAGAGTCCTTCCTTTAAATCCTCCACCCAGAATCAGGAGGAGGAGGGGTTTTGACTCCGGTAACCTCTCACTCATTCAGTGAATAACGAAATAGTTGCTTAACACCGGTTTTCTGTGAGGGTAGACATGGAAATTATTGCTACTTTTAAATAATATTCACTAGATTGAATTATTGCTTTGTCACTGCGATTTCACAAATGATTGTGATTTCGTCACACACAAAGATAAATGCCATTAAAATCAATCAAATTTCTTTTTATCAAAGATTACGACCTTTGTTAGATTTAGACCTTTCGCGAGTTTTGCACTTAAGTAATTATAATAATAATAAGTCGCAGTGGTTTTGTAATTCAGTCACAAGAGTGATTATATATATGGTTTATAAATCATATCATTTGTCGCAAGATTTCGTTCCTTCCCTACTGTGAGGCCGTGGTATTACTTCGTTTGAGACGACCCATTCGTGCCGACGACGCATGACTTTAATTCGGTTTACCAAAACGGCGTGTTTTTTTTGTTTTCTCATTCATTCATATATATTATTCTATCTGCAGAGACATTTTGGAGGCAATGCACAAAGACTGCGGTATGCCTCTGTCGAAGCTCCACGTGGACGGCAGAATGACCTCTAATGACCTGCTGATGCAGTTACAAGCTGATCTCGTCGGTATACCAGTGTGTAAGTATTCAACAGAAGTTGTCATTTCATTTCTACCCCTCTCTAATTGACACAATTATCTGTAATACCTCCAGTATTAGGCAAGCCTTATCTTGCCCAATACTCCCTCCCTATGAATGTTTATGGCGTAATGACATAAACTATTACGCAACATTTGCATTTATTGCATTGTGTATATTTTCAGTTTTACGCTTACAATTGTTAGCGTATTTATTGGATAATGAACTATGGGTTCTAGTTTAGTAGTTACGTCACTAAATTTTTACTTTTTCAGCCATTTTTTAGTTTAAACATATTTTTTTAACTTCATAACTTGAAAAATGTGAAGTTGGTGGTTTAGAGTACATCTCAGTTAATCATTGCGTTACAACGCACTGTAAATATTAATAAATCAAAGAAAAATGGGTTAGTTATACCATTTATAGCTCAAGAACGGCTGGAACGTTCTTTATGATGTTTGATTTTTTGGATTCCTCTATCGTCGCCCCCTAATAGAATTAAATTAATTATCTCACGTATGAAAGCTGAACAGTAAAGCTGTGACGTGACTAAAACCGCAGTCGAAACTAGTGATAAATGTGAAGACGTAAATAACGATAGATATGTTTCGTCAGTGCGGGCCCAGTCGTGGGACATGTCAGCGCTGGGCGTGGGCGTGGTGGCGGGCGGCGCGGCGGGCGTGTGGCCGCTCGACGCCTTCCGCGCGCTCGCCACGCAGGCCGACACCTTCCTGCCCACCACCACCGACGACGGTACGTACTCCACTTGCTTGAATTTCTGTAGTAGCTCCACTCACTCCGTGAGAAGCACCAAACGAATTGCCTAACACCGGTTTTCTGTGAAGCCGTATCACACCGGTCGAGTTAGCCCATATTATATGTGCTCCAGCACATATAATATGGGCTAACTCCCCCATAGTTAAATATGACCTTAAAAAACTAGCAATACAAGTTTATAATACGAATTTCGGTAATAATAATAATATCTTCGGACAACCGACACACAACGCCATCTAGTTTCAAACTAAGCAGAACTTGTACTATAAAGGCAAGATTGAATGATACAATACTTATATATTTACTTTTTTTTGTAAATACGTACATATTATTTGTGTGAAGTTATTATTATTATAAATATATAAATGGAAAACACCTAAACTCCGAAACATATATTTGCATATCATACAAACATTTGGTCCGACCCGGGAATCGAACTACTCGAACTACTTCTTAATTGTCCTGATTAAATCGTACGTGATAAAATGAATGAAGATAAGATAAGAAAATTTATTTATTCGCTCAAACACATGTGTACATACAATAAACAATCGCATGCAACATATACAGTTGGAAAAAGATTGAGACATTTTTGCCATATTACGTGCGAATTTAAATCTTATTAATTAACCTTTAACCGACAGGCCTTGATAACTACATGGCCATTGGTGCAATGGCGCGATTAGAGAGTGTAGTAGAGAGTTCTGATTTTATTTAACACTTTCAAATAAATGTATGACTCGTCAAATTTCTAGCGATTTTATTTGATAGACCAATAATCAATGTAGCTTGTTACAATATATTTTATTACTACTCGTAAAACATGTTATCTTTTTAATATTTACAGACAATCGAACCACATGGCCATCTACGTACCTATTGTAGGAAAAAAGAGAATTTTAATGTTCTACGAATTTTTTCGTTCATAATTATTATTCCCCTAAATAAAAATTACAAGGCTATCTGATGATATAAAAAACACCATCTTTTTAATAAAATTCACTCAAAAAAACTGTTGCGAAAATCACATAACACTGGATAAATTCCCATCAGCGATCTATTTCTATCACTTAACCTGACAACAGTTAACATTATCAACGGTTAACATTATGTAAATGTTAATATTACGTCAAATGTATCTAATAAGGTACTTAAATATTTCAAATCAAATTTATCATTTAAAAAGTCACTAACTTCATAATAGGCTTGAATGGGCCAATAACTCCAACTAAATAAGATCTTATCTATTATTATTTAAAGTGAAAAAATACCATAACACATGTGTGAATTGCAAAAATCTTAATAAAATCATATCACATTTTGATAATAAAAAACTTTAATTTCAGATCGCGATGCGCGGTACACAAAATGGAAGATGGCTGTCCAGCGTTCACTCGGATGGGCGACAACTAAAAAATCTATCACAATGACAGGTCAGGGTAAAAGAAAAATTAGCATGGTAACACAACCAAGTATAGACACGAACTCCCCACCTGACAGTAGGAAGAACTCGCTTATAGATAATCACATTCTAGACTTGAAAGTAGACAAAACTGGAGACGACGGCGTCAATCCCTACGTCGAAGAGTTAATCCAGTACTCGGCGCGAAAATTTTCAATATTTGTACCTCTCAAACCGCGTAAAACCGAACCGACTATTCTCGACGACGCGGAGTATTTCATGAGTAAGAAAGAGTGCGACTACGGTATGTGCGAGTGTTGCCACACCGAGAAAAAGTTGCTAACTAACTGGGAGTCCATTGAGGAGATTATAGAGAATGATCCGGAGATTATATTCGATTGTGATGACAACCCCATTATGGTTGAACCGGTGAAGGTCACTGAACCTTTTTTAAATACTATCGGTTTCGGTGCTGCATCGCTGACTAAAAAAATTAATTTTGAAAAGTTGCCCGGTCTGTTTAAAACTATTTATAATAGAATTGCCAATAGCTCCCCCGAGTGAAAAAATTAGTTAGATCTTTTTGAATACGCGTAGGTTTAGCTTCACAGCTATCTTTTTTATCGAAGTTCCTGAAATTCCTTTAACACCATACGTTAGACTTTCAAGATATTAGGAATGTGGTTTGTACTATGAGAAGATTAAAATCGAAACGGAGTAGATATCGATAGATATATTTTTATGAATCTACAGAATGCAACAACAATCCCATATATTAGATCAAAAGGTAAAAATCTTAAAATGTATTATCGAAGATTTCGTAATTGACTTGTTATGTAGATTGGATAATGTTGTTCCTAAAATTGTTATTGAAATGTGATATTTTTATTCGAATTATCTGAATATATTTAGACTTTACGTGTAAAAGTGAGTATTGAGTGATATGTTGTGTAATACGGAGTTATTCTCAAATGCAATTTGATGTAGACGCGAAATTTTGTTGTACTTAGTATTTAATGTTAATATTGGTATTAAAAGACATATTTTAGTATTGTGATGCCCCATAGTGTGGAAAGCGCAAATTAAAGTTGCAATGGGTTGTTATAATTTACAAAAATAAAATTTGGTACTTCCAAAGAAACTTTTTTTTTTTAAATCTGTGTAATGTTTTGATATCAATTTTGAGTTTTTTTTTATATATTATTTGTTGATAAATGACTAACCTAATTATTCGATATTTTGACCCTTTCGTCATCAATAATATGCGCTAAAACAGTATATCGAATAGAATCTGTCAGAACCTTCGCTAGTTAGTAACTGTGTCGTCTTTATTTAAATAGTAATGTTCAACTAACAATAAAATAAGACTGCTATTAACTTGAATAGTAAATAAAATTGTTTATTTATCCTTTTGGGTCTTTAATTTATATTTAGTTACTCCTTGCATGATAACTTTTTGCATGAGATCTAGTGAAAGGAGTTATTTTCATCTAATTCTTTCGACTTGTTCTAATTTTTTTTCAGTTGGCAACCCTACAATATATACAAGAACAAGTGTGAAAGAATGGATTACGTTTTGCATGTTCACACCTTTTACACAAATAACAGTCATAAAAAAACACGACTATGTACTTTATAGTGTATCATATTACCATATATTTTAATTGTTTTAGGACAATTTCATTTTACAATTAAATTGTACACTAAAATGATAATCTTCAGGAATTTAAATGAGATTACTTTATAACAGTATTAAATAATTATCTGATTATTGTTATATCTGTAAATGAGTTGACGTCATATGTATGTAGTAATGGCCATATATAAATAACAATCTTTTTTTTTATTTTGTCATAAAACTGGAAGCTTAACTTTCTTGACTAATTGATTTTTGCATTAGTTTATTTTATGCAAATTAACTGATGAAAAGTAAATATGAAAGATACCTACCTAATATTTTCATGTTAATTGACATTATTTATATTTGTAACTAATAGTATAAAATCGAACCTTTTTAATAGGTACATCAACAGAGTATGTTTCGATAAACATACGTACTTTTAATGGGTATCTACTTAATCATAACCTCTTTATTAAAAGACGTATTAATAATTGATAAGTTGAAATCCACAAAAACGCTAATAATCTAAGTATAAATTTAATATCCAGAATCTCAAATGTTTAAAATATTTTTTGATGATTTCTCGTAATTTAGTGTATGACATTACCAGACTGGGTCAGGCCACGGTCATTAGGCAGTGGGGGTAGGTGACTGTCAAGTTAAACCAGTATCTTCTTGACGCGGAACATTTTCAACTTTGTACGAAATAAAGCTTGGCGTCATTCCTAGCTGTTGTCAAATAATTTATTTTTAATGTTGATTTAAATAAATCAACATTAAAAATAAATTAAAAAATAAGCACATTAAAATAACCTTTCCAATATTATAAAAGCGAACGTTTGTATGGATGTTTGTTACTCTTCGCAAAACTGAGAGAGAACGCAATCAAAATTTGGCATGTAAATAGATTATAGTTTGGAATAGACTACTTTTTATCCTTAGGATTGGGATCAGCAAGGTACAACAACAACTGCGGTTAAAACCGCAGGGCGCAGCTAGTAGACTGTAACTCAATCTGAAAGAAAAATGTAAAAATAACCACATCAAGCTACAGGAGTCCAGTGTATATATTCCACTTATTACCCGAAAAGTCTATACGTTGACAGCTTAAGTTATAGTGGTCATTAACATAAAACATTAAAAAGGGTCGATATTAGATTGGCAAGCGATCTCAAGTAAATATAAACATGTAGGATCAAATCAAACCATGAAATATTCATTACGATACCAAATATACCTATAGGAATCAGGTTAGTTCAACCTAATTCTGCTAAATCATATACTGAGTAGTGTTTACTCGTAACAGTCAGTCAGTCTTCAGATATTTCTTGGGTTTGAACAGTGAGTTACTATATTTTTAGAAGCGTTTCAAATCGAGAGACCGTCAATATTAAGAATTAATACCATATACCTCTACTACAAGGCCACTCTTATCGACTTCATCCTTTTTAAAATATTGTCATTAAATTACTGTTTATAATAAACGGTTTTTATGATATATATGAATAATTATGACGATAATATTAAGTATTTATAAAAAGTTATGCGTAATACATTAACTTTTTCGACTTCATTCTAATAGGAATGTTTGTCATGACATTTGACGTTTATCGTTTGGGTATTAACATAAGATCATTGGTGAAAGTTAAACATTCTCATTATAAATAAGTGAACATGGGATGGATCAACTCATCCAGCAGTTGAAGAGTTCTCCGTGGAATTTTGTGAATTCAAACGATAAGTACCATTTTGTATAAAAAAACTATCTTGCATTCACTGTTCGCAAATAACTTATTTAATTACTAATAAAGTAATTATGAATTACATTACAATGAAATTAAATATTGATTTACATAAAAGTGTTACAAATAGTATAAATCTTTAACTAGTGTGTAATGAATAATTTAACAAAAAATTACTAAACTGTATTAACTGCAATGCTACTGGTAATTCATAATGTCATTAATTTAACATCAAGCAAAGTTACAGGTTTATCACTTTGATATGGTGCCATATGTGTACTGCTATTATAGAAATTAACTGTCGAAAGAATATACAACGTATTTATTAGTATTATACGTTAGTATTTATCTACTGGATAACTAGTACGTTATAATAAACAAAAGCGATAATAGTATACTGAAATAGAGAATTGTACATGAATTACATAGATAGATAGATAATAATTTATTTGTACACCTGGGTTTTACAGACATTGTAAAGTAATTAAACGAATAGCAGATGTAATGTACAAAGGGCGGCCTTATCGCTTGAGCAATTTCTTCCAGGCAACCTTTGGATGGACTGGATTCATTATGAACTGGTGATAGGTATACAGAAATTAGAGTAATAAATAACACAAATAGGTCGTTGTAATTATTGTAGATAACTTTCTGACTTATTACTTAACAGAATATAAATTATTTGCGAACATAATCGTTTATGTTAATTAATAAAAAAATTGTTGTTTGTTTGTAGACTGGTTCCACATTAGATTTGATTTCACAAACTTCCATAATTGTATTAATTTGTTTTCTTTTTTTATGGGCTAAAGTCATGTTTTCTATTACAGAGGACAGATACAGTCTACTGGCGTCGATTCCCGGATCTCTGTACCTGATGGGCAGCTTTGCAATGTTAGTTGTATCCAATTTGCTCAAGAATAAGTTAAGCTAAATTATACTCTTATCATTTTATTATAGGTATTTATTTTATTAATCTAATTATTTGTAGTATGATTTGTGGGTTTGTTCAATATTGGTGTAAATAAGTGTATAAGCATTTAAAGAAACATTTTAACGTCTATATGTCGACGTAAATCTTTTATCATCGTTACTGATAGAGATGTCATCTATTTACATCAAAGAATATGTTTCTTTATATCTATAGTTATTACCGTAAATGTGTAAAATTGCGTATTTTATAAAGGATAAATGGTTTTACTCATGTGTATATTTAAGCATGCTCGAGTTTCGGATGTGACGGGGGACCTTCAGTTATGAGTGAAGCGACCTGTCGGTCCGGATATATCTTTTATAAATAAGAATAGAAATCACGAGTTTTGATCCTAATATTTCCTAGAAGGTTACTGTTTGCCATGAGGCATATGAACAGGCAAAAATATTTAAGTAACAATGAGTTTTCTCGCTATTAAAAGACATTGTTACGTATGTTCTTGCTTTTGTACTTGTGTTTTGAGATAAAAATATATTCTGGGTGTTCTGGCTATCTGGTGTTGATCGAGCGATCAAATTTAATATGTGATTTTTTATTTATGCTATACGGTTTTAGTCTTCTTTAAGGTGTGCAACCTCAGATGAAATGAAAAATATAGATGGTACTCTGTGAACAAAGAAGTGAGGCCAATTAAAACTGCTTTGGCGTGTACACACAGAAATATATGCACACACGTATAACGAAACTACGCATTGTCAGTTAAAACCTCATCAAAAATGTCAACAATACTTACAAGTAAAAATGACGAATTGTGTTGTGAAAGGGTGTAAAAATCAAACTACAAAAGATAGATAGTAGGATGAAACCAATATTTATATGTATTATTATAAAGTGTATAAACCAATATTTTCAATAAAATAAAATTATGATGGCACATTTATAAAACTCGTTCACGACTCACTTCGTCCTTCGCAAAGTTCCATCTTAACATTTTTATTTGATCTGTGGAAGCAACCTGTCACGTCGGTATCATTAATTCAATTTAATTCCCTTTAATCATGTCAATCAAGTATATCAAATTATATTGTATATTTGGTAGATTTTACGAAATGTATATTTATGTATTTTTAAATCAACTTACCTATGTACAAATTGTATCTAACTTATGTGTAAATTAATTTCGAACTTGATTATGATTATTTAATTAGATAATTAACTATAAGACAATTGTAGTGAAATTTTTATTGTTGCATTTTTTAATTTTTAC